TTAGGCTCATATATTTGTATTTAAAATCATTGCCCATTCACCTACTTAAATTTACAAGGAAGCCATCCCATGCTTTAAGGTATTACCACTGGGACTGGTAATGATACGGCAAGCTTGGCAATTATGTCAGATTGGAATTGTGGGTGGAGAAAAGAGGGGATTTAGATGTTTCAGAATTTTTTTTTTTTAACAAAAGTCATTATGATAGAGCAAAAGAACTTCAATTTAGAGAAAAAGATAAGTTGCCTTAGGTTTCAAATACTCAAAGCAAGGGGTGGGAAGGGATGCTTTTTCTCTTCTCTCTATATTTTCTCCATTGGTAATTCCATTGACCTCTTTGGTTTTAACTATCATGGCGGACAGGGGGGAAATAGGGGGCCACTTTCCAAAATTATTCTTTCAACTATCATCTCTTAAGTGTCTGATCCCTTTTTCCAGCTCTCCCTAAGAGACCTTGTCCAGGACCTCTCCAAGCTGTTCAGATACAAAATGTCCACAGGGAAATCTATGTGGTCCCTCTGTCAGCAATTCTTCCATTCGGTCTATCATCATCATCATCATCGTCATCATCATCATCCTACAAAACAGACACAAAATCATGGTGCTTCTCCCAAGGACCCATTATTGCTAATTTCTACTGCTTCTACCTGCCATTTTGGCCCATCTCTATCTCTTCTCCTGCTCAAACCAACTGAAGTGTTCCTGGAGCCCTGGGCATTCCTAAGAGATTCCCTTTTATATTATTTGTTCTAGACCTTTTCCCTATCTGGGAGCCCCTTCCACCATTCTATAATCCAATCTATGTCAGCAGTTTTTTTTTTCTAATGCCAGTTTCACATAGCCTTCCTGATCCATTCTGTCAAAAGTACTCCCTGCCTATCCTGAACTTTCCATGATCTTACTCTTTCTTATGGTGCACACTTAGGGCTTAACTGAAATTATATTTGTGAGTATACGGTATATATCAGGCATGTATGTAGGCACTTTATATACATTTTAACTTAATCCTTTCAGCAGCCCTCTAAGACCTAGAAAGACCCCTATCTAGAAATCCATATTTTACCAGTCTTGGGTATAGCTTGGACATGGGGATTTTTTTTTTTTTTTAAGTAGGCTCCACACCCAGCATGAAGCCCAATGCAGGGCTTGAACTCATGACTCTGAGATCAAGACTTGAAATGAGATTGAGTCAGTCACTTAACTGACTGAGCCACATAGGTGCCCCTGGACATGGGACTTTTAAGTACTCCTAGGGTAATTCCAGTATATAGCATGGTTGAGAATCACTGGTTTAACTCCAAATCCATTAGCCAAATATTCTCCGATAGTAGGTATCACTTTTTAAGCTTTAAACAACAAAAAAATGCTAGACCCTAGCCCAGTCCTGCCATAGTAGACTTCTAGGAGACAGCGTCTAGGAATCCATATGCTAATAAAGCTTCACAGTTATTCCATCACATAACCAGGATGAAGAGGCGCTGTCTTTGTCAGATGCTGTATCATCTTCCCATAGTCCTAGTTTACAAGTAATTATACATGTCTCCTCCCACTGTGTAATCTGTAAACTCTTTGAGGACAGGTTTGCATTCAAGTCACTGTGATATGCTCCCTCGCACCTAGCAAGGTCCCTTGCACATAGTAAGTTATAGAAACTAAAGTACCAATATTATGTCCTTTGATGAAGAAAACAAAAATGCCTTTTTAAGAAAACAAAGATACCTTTACATAGTACTTCTTCTATGCTGAGTTTTTAATCTCTACTCTACTGACCAAGAAAGTCACTAAGTCATTTCAGTTCTCTGAGTGTAACATTTGCATATCTGTACAATGCCAGGGCTAGGACTTGAACTCAGCTCTTCTGACAATACTTTGGCCTCTATACCTCAGACCTTCAAAGCAACTACAAAGTGAAAAACTCAACTATCCATGTGTTCAGATACCTGCTGTCAGATGTGTTTCTAAAATTTGAACATAACCTGTCACATGGGGAAAAAAAGTTTTGCATTATGAAATGGATTTGGAAAATACATTAATTTCAACCCAAAAATAAGTATGGAATAAATAGACATGCTTTTTTTCTCACCTCCCTCACCTCCAGAGGTACCTATAGAGAGACAAACATACCCTTTAACATTTCCTAACTATTTAGTTACTCCATTAGGGTTTTTTTTTTTTCCCTTCATCTTAGTTTGCACTGCTTCTCAAAGACTTTTCAAATAACCTGAACTTCTGGTTATAATTGAAATCTTTTTAAAGATTCATATACAGTTTACTTAAGGTAGTAAATTGATATCTGGTATAAACTTGTGATGTTTCATTCAATATGAATATGCACATAAACATAACAAAGTTGAAATGAAACTCGAACAACACCTAGAAACCAGGATTCTAGGCTCTTTTTGCCATTTCTGAGCTAGGTGACTCTGGACAGGGAAGGAACTTTCCAGAAGCTTCTTTTCCACCTGAAAAAATGAAAGGGAGAAGGACCTGAGATAGACCTTCCTACATTTTCTTCCAGACATGAAAATTTATGATCTCTTAAAATAAGAAGAACTCATTTATTAGGCTTTGGGTCAAGATTAAATTAGTCACCAATCCTGACCCATTAATCAGTTGATATGTGAAGGGGCAAACAAAATTATAATGAAATTTGGACACTTCTTCACAAGGTAGAAAGCATTCACCTCCATTATCTCTTTTCACTTTCATAACATAACCTGCAGAACACTCCTTATTATCCCCATTTCACAGAAAACTGAGAAGCAGATGGTTGAGTGACTTGTCCTGGGTAACAAAATCAGAAAATGACAACTATAGACCCCCCCCCCCCCCCCCGGGACCTGGCTTTTAACCCCTTTCAGCACCTCCGTGACCACAGGCGATGCTGGAGATGGGGACCCAGGTCAATCTGACATGGAGACAGCTTCCCCACCAGCCTCTGTGCCTTCCCAAAATGTCTTCTAGCCCAGAGGCCCATAAATTGCTTTAGAATAGAATACCAAGTGAAGATTTATTTATCATATCTTTTCTGAACGCATATTTTCTGGAGCATTTATAGATCTGTTTTTCCAAGAAGCTGAGAGTTCCTGATAAAACACGACAGATAATGATAAATGAGCATCTATGTTAGCCTAGCTGGGAGGAGGCCCAGGGACTGTTAACACCCCCCCTGTGAAGTTAATCCCATTTCTTTTGGCCATTTCTTTATTAGTTAATGAGGTCTTACAAAAATGTGTGTCTGTGATGGTGTTTTAGCATCCTTGCCTCTAGGAACATTTTCAAATATTCATCAAGTCGCTCGTCTGACCAAAGCTTAAAGCAAAGGTGCATTAAGTATGAATTCTAGTCAACTTCAAATGTGGGTGGTCACAAAGCTGCTCCTGAAATAGCCCCCTCAGTAATCCTCCTCACTGGTATCTCCAGATCTGCAGCGCTGGGTGCAAATGTGAAGGGGAACCAGGGGAAAAAGGTATTATTTAGGACACCAGGACTCCGAAGGGCAGCCCCGTAAGCTTTGATCCTGCCTCTTGACTGACAGCCATGTGGCTAGCTTTTGGAAAACTGAATAACTTAAGGGAAACAAAAACAAAATGAAAAAGGAATGACCAGTCAAGCCCCTGGGAAGGAGAGCAGAGGCTCAATGTTAATACTCCTAGAAGGCCAGTTTCCACTTCCCACTTGAGTTCCTTATAGCAAAGAGGGAACCATCAAAAGATGTCTTGGTGCTCAATGGTACATTTTTGGAGAGACAAACCAAAGGCAGAAACTTGATTAACTACTAAACCAAGCTCCCTGGTACGGTGAATCACAGGGACTATATCTACAACCTAGTTTTGGCAGGTGCCCCACCCCGTAGCATGATCCTAGGAACACAGCTAGAGTACACGCGCACGCGCAAACACTTGCATGCGCATCTCCAACACCCTCCTCCCCCGACCCATCCACACACACAAGACTTCCATCCTCCCAAAGCACACAATCCTTGATGCTTTTCCACCCTTTCATGATTTTGTTTCCTCAAAACATCACTTAAGGAAGTTGACATTATGGCTGGCCTTCTATGTGTAGTTTATAAGCAAAGGGACTTTTTCAAAGGGCATCTGTAAAAATATCATTTCAAATGTGTAAGGAAGATGAAGCCCTTCTGTTTGGTTCTGGATGGCTTGGACTATCTGTGGTATACTTTGCCTAAGAAGCTGAAAATGACAGCCCAGCATTCTCATACCTGTCTCTGCACAGGTAACCAAAATAGGGCACCAGAATGGTACAGGTTTCCTGATCCTACTTTAGAACAAGCTCGAGGAACGAATGATGAGCCAAAGTCTTCTGACCTTCAACCCCAGAGGGCAGTGCCATAAATCACAGTAGTACTGGTAGCTCAGTGCTTTCTGACACAGGAGGTCCCATTCATGTCATTGCCACTAAGACTTATATTCACTGGAGTCTCTTGGCCTTTTTGCATGATCAACACCCACCCCCCTCCCCCCGCCAAGTGAAGGAAAGCTCTGGGCCATATATGTGAAAGGAGATGGCCATGTAATCCACTCAGTACAGATATGGAAACACACAGACATCATCCATTAATTAACAAGGGCAGATAATGCAAACATTTCCTTTTGCAACTCATTGCTCAACTTTCTGGTCATTTTAACTGGTTATACGCTTAATTGCAATGTAAAAAAAAAAAAAAAGAAAGAAAGAGAAAAGAAAAGTAAAGAAAAGAGAGAGAGAGAAAGAGAGAGAGGGAAGGGCAAGAAAAAGTCCTGAAAATAGCAATAGCACAGGAATAATTCTGCCTTAAGTAAAGCTCAGCCTATAATATTATTTCTCTTTTGTCCCTGCCTCAGGGACATTGAGGGCATATTAACAGCCATTATGATTACGGAAGATACAAACTAATGTTGGTTGTTCCAGATGTAATTTTGCAATTTCTCAAAAGAAATACTGTTCCGTCCCAGATGCAAATTTGACTGTGTCCTGTCCTTAATGTTCTATTACAGGTGATTCACATAACAGGCCGGCTACGACTGAGGGTGTCCCTATCCCACGGGAGGACCGTTCCCAGCCAAATCATGGGTCTTGTGGTTGTGGCTCATGCCCTGCCTCCCCCTACGATCAATGAAGTCAGAATTGACTGCCATATGTTCGTCACTCGAGTAAATATGGACCTCAATATCATTTACTGTGAAAATAGGTACTTTGTTTTTGTTCTCATTTCCTCTGTTGTATGTTACACATTGGTGAAGGCTGGTGTTTGTGGCAGTCTGAAGGATTTTACTCTCCCAGTGAGGCTCATTATAAATCCTGATCTTATTTTTAATGGCTGCTTGGACTGACACCAAACATGCTTTTTATTTAAAATTTACATTGCTGTCCTGATGTACGTGAGGGACAACAATGGAATGGATTGGGATACCCAGACATCCATATGCTATAATTAAGACCCATTTTGGCCGAGAACCCAAGGAGAGAGCAGGGCTGAGACGTTCTTGGCAAAATTATACCATAAAAGGTATCTCCTGCTGCCTCAGTCAGGCGCACCTCCTGTCTCCTGTATGGGCCCAACCTCAGGATGGCCAGCGTTCATACAGCCTTCAGCACATTGCCTTAGCTGCCTGCCGGGCTACGCGTTACCATAGACCGAGTGGCTCAAACAACAGACATTTATTTCTCATAGTTCTGGAGACTGGGAGTTCCAAGATCAAGGTACAAGCTAATTGGGTTCCTAGCAAGAGCCCACATCCTGGTTGCAGATAGCAATCTTCTTGCTGGATCTTCACACTGGGGAGAGCGAGAGCTCTGGTCCCTTCCTCCTCTTATGAGGACACTAATCCCATCACGGGGGCTCCATCCCCATGACCTCATCTTCACCTAATTACCTCCCAAAGGCCCCCCCATACTATCACACTGAGTATAAAGGCTTCACTGTATGGGTTTTGTGGTGGGAGGGACACGCGCAGGCCATAGCACATGGAGGGGAAAAAAATGAGAATTCGAGGCCCCCAGAGGGAAAAGGATGAAAAATCTGCAAAACTATTAAATAAAATGTTGTAATCCTGAGGAGTTTGCTTTTATAAATTAAATTTTTTAAAAAAGAGAGAGACTCGTCATATAAATGACTTGACAGTCCTTCCTTAACACCGAGCTTTGATAAAAGGACTTTTTAACCTCTGGTTTAAAAGTTCACTTTTTCCATTAAGCACAGAGCAAGGGACAAGGAAATGGGACAGTGCCCCCTTAGACCTTTCACCCACAAGTCACCAGCCCATCATCAGACCGATTTGAAGAAGAGAGAATCAGTGGGCACAGGGAGAAGAGGGAAAGAAGCTTCCATGATAGCATTCAATCTGCTGGTGCCACAGGCAGACTCACTGAGGCGGTTTTGAGAGGGTGCTTTTGTGGCACAGATTACGGTCACGCACAAAAGCAGCGTATGTTCACCGAGCCCTGATAGTGCCCTCAGGGGCAAAATGAAAGAGCGGAATGGTCAAGCAGCTCAGGTAATTGACCTCTGCAAGGCCTAGCCAAGAGGAAGACGGCCAGCATCCGTGTTCAGTCTGCTGGGAAGCTCTGAGGATGTTGAGCCCAAGTTAGAAATGCCTACCATTTCCAGTCAAGATTGGATCCAGAGGAAAGAATCCATCAGGAGAAAAAGACACCCACCTGAGCTATTAGTGTTCCATGGGGTAGAAGAGACCATGAATCCGTCACTCTTATTTAACAAGTAACCCTAAATCTATTTGTTTCAAGTTTGGTTGGCATTTCTTAAAATTTTTAGAAAACTGACTGTATACTTGGATTGTGTGTAAGGTATTCTGGAATGGCAAAAGAGTATCAGGAAAGACAGACAAAAGGATTCGCTAGGGTGAGCAAGTGATAATAAAGATAACGTTTGTTAAACACTTAGCTACACGCTCGGCAACGTGCAAAACTCATTATATACATCATCTGCTTTAAGCTTCAAGACAGTTCTGTGATCTAGATGGGTGTTGCCATGGCCTTCGGCACCCTCAAGCAATTTCAGTTTAGCAAGAAAGGGTAAGTGAGACGCCCACGGTCACAATTTGAACTCGAAATGTGCCAGATTTTAAAACCAGGCAGTTAGCTACGTGTGGGCTTTCCTGCATTCCCTGTCACTTTTTTTCTAGAGAAGTCAGGCTAAGTGGTAAGGAAGCCATCAGACTAACCACTGAAGGGGACTCTCATATCTATGCATCCATTAAAGAACACAGTTCTAGCCCACAAAGCTGTTTACTCTGATGAAAAAGATAGAATGCTGGAGAGGGAGCTCCAACACAGGGAGGCGGATAGAAAGTCTGATGACCTATGGCTTTACCTCTTCAAATACGTAGGTCAGGCTCCCTTGATTTACATTTACTACTGTCACTCCCTCTGAAAACCTGAGCCTCATCTTATTTACCTGCTTCCGGTGATTGTCCTGTCCCCAAACCCTCACTTCATTTTCATTCCTGTGATCACAGATTGATTAATTCTGCTCCATGGACCTGAGTGCCTTTTGGTGCCACTCCAATAATTGAGATCATTTTCTGTGACCCACTTTAAGCTTTTTTTTGTCCCTTTTAAAGAAAAAAAAAAACCAAAACTTTTTTCCACAACCCCTTATTAGCCAATACAATACGGCATTATTTCCCAGCTGAAGAGGATAGAAGTTATTTAAAAAGGACTCGTTTAAAAGAAATTGCTTGCTTGACCTGAAGAAAAAGCATGCCTCATGTGCCAGGCACTGTGCTATGCTCATTTCATTTCATTCATCAATCCCCTCACCAACCTCCTAAGTTATTTTTACAGATAAGGAAACTGAGGCTCAGAGTATAAGATGCCATCAGGATCCTGCTCCTCATATAGGTCATCAAACTGGTCCGGGGATTTCTACACAAGTATTAAGATGTCTCTGGACACTGAGCTAGTCACACTTGCCACAGTAACAGGTTCTATACATAAGAATACGTCAGATGTTTTGAAGGATTTCATTCCAATAAAGCATAAACTAAAGAACGTCTTCCCTAAAGTATCACTGGCTTTTTCCCAGGGCCTATTGTTTAATTAGGGAGTTGCTAACTGGAAACACAAGACCTGTCCTGGCCTCTGCAGACCATTCTTCTCCTCTGCATTCCCTAGGAGGGCGGAGGACAAAGCCGACATCAGAGGCCTTCAGGGGAGCTGGCAAATTTCAGAAACACCAATGAGGGCCTTTTAATGACATCCTTATTCACTCATTTGCAGAAAGGGGGTGTAAACTGTGCTTGGAAAGCAGCTAATGGTTTTAGGAAAACACCAACTAATCTGCTTTGTACCAGAAAACCATGGCGTTAAAAAACTCTATATTGTCCCATTTTCACCTCGGCTTACCAAGAATTCTAGTCTGGCCAAAAATCTTACTTAACATTAGATGTTGAGAAATCCACTCCCTGGGTAGTAACTTTTAATTATATTCCCCATTATTCTGGTTTGGTTTGGTTCAGTTTGGTTTAGTTCCCCTGCCTTGGGGGGTCAAGACTGAGCTCTCCGACCATGGCCTCTCAGGTTTCTGAAACATGTCATTTCTAAAGACTCACTCCTATTTAGAGCTAGTGTGAGCCCTAAACGATAAAAAGCACAGTGATGGTAAAGAGAATAAATTAAACAGAAGATATATTCTATTTTGGACCGCCCAAAACCAATCTGTACCTGGACAGGGAGGACGATAATAAGCATGTTGACATCTTTGTGTAAATCGGGCAGATTCCCCCAACATGTTTTCCAATTGCCGTTCTATTTTTCTGTGCTCCTGCCGGAGGACATTGACGTCTGGACAATCAATGACACAGGCTTACACACGTACTGCCTCGCACAAGCCTGCAGAGCTGCTACAATGGTTTAAAAGTTTCTGTGTGGAATCCACCACAAAGTACTAGTTAAAAGGGCCAGGAGTGAAAGCCGAGCTCCCAAATGACTAAGACTGAAAAAGATAATACCCCCAGGCATCTGTATGTCTCAGCATTTAAATTATATCCCTTGAATGCCAATTTGGACTTTGTGCCAAGAAGCGGTTGAAGCCCTTTTTTCATGGAAATACCCAATAGAAGACCAATCTGTTTAAATGAAAGGTGTCTCTAATCATTTGGTATCAACATAACATGTTTTTATTTTATTACGTAACCTTGAATTATCTTGGCCTCTAATGAGGATCTTGCATTGTTACTGATTCTCAATAATTTCATGGAATTATGTTGTCCAAATGTGTATTCTGATGCCAAAAAAAAAAAAAAAGAAAGAAAGAAAAGAAAAGAAAAACCTGTCTCATGATTTAAATGCAGTTGCTGGATCGAGCACATCTCCTATTTTCAAAAAAGTCCGATATCCGTTGAAGAAATTATCTTCTCTGTCAGGAAAGGGTTTTCCCTCAAAGTGCCACCTCCTGATGGGTACCCCCAGGATAAGGAAAACTGTAAGGGGACTTGTTTCTCAGTCATTGAACAATTTCTGGACTTCCTGCCCTCCCCCTCCCTGAATCCCAGCCTGTGTTCTTCTCTCTGCAGGATTAGTGATTATATGGATCTGACCCCCGTAGACATCGTAGGGAAGAGATGCTACCACTTCATCCATGCCGAAGACGTCGAAGGCATCAGGCATAGTCACTTGGACCGTAAGTAACCCCTGTGCATGGGAACAGCCTGGCTCGTGTCAAGTCTCTCGGATGCTTGTTTGGTTTCAGTGCGGATTTCTCCCTTCGTGTCTCGTGCATACGCTTGAGATGACGGTCAGCATGCAGTGAGAAAAAGTGAGACGTAAATCACTTCAGCTGGTGTTGGAATTAGATTGGAAGTTGGAACTCGGGCCCGCAGAAATTGCTGGATCTTTAGGCCCTTGCCCGGGATTTTGTGGTCTCTCATGCTCTCTCTCCCATGAAGTGATGGGGGAAGCTCTGCCTTATGCTTTCTTGACCCTTTCATTTTCTAGAGAGCGAGCTCCACTCTGAAATTTGTGGTCTCTGTTTGAAGATATATGTGGGAGAAGGCAGGTTCAAATAGACCAGAGCCTACAGCGATTCCTACTTGACGGACCGCAAAACTGGGGCAAGGGGGTAGCTGGGGAACAGGGGCGGAGCACATCGTGTGTCCACGGCCGCTCGAATGTGGCATCTTTTCACTGTATTTCTGGAAAGGGGTTTATTCTGAGGAACACTCCCGAGAGAGAGAGAGAGAGACTCATCTCAGCTCTTTAAGTCTGATTCCCAGCCTCTGACTCACAAGCTGACCTCCGAGATGCCTTCTTTGGCATTTAAAGACAGAGGGACCAACCGTGCTCTGGCCAGGTCTGAGCCAAAACTCCCACAAAGCATTCCATGCAGCCTTCCCTCACCAGACTCAGTGGGCTTTTGCCACCGTGTGTGGAAAGGCTCTGACCATCCCATAAGGCAGGAGGCACTGGTCTGCGGAACCTCTTAGGAAGAGGCTGCCCTTTTTCCAACCAGAGGTCCTTTTGATGACCAACCAGCAGACTCTTCTTCCTACAAGATGAGGGTCCAACGAGCTCATCCTCTCAGAAGGTTCTAAACCCAGTTCTGAACTCTGATTTTAAATACATGCGAGGTGCCACCAGTGAGAGTCTATACCTTGACGGTCAAGTTTTCCTCTAGCGACATGAGCCAGGTGGCCTTCATATTTACTTCCTCTCCCTGTTCTTGCTGTGGCTGAGGAGAGCGGTCTCAGGTCTTTCCTGCCCTTTGCTCATTTTTAGATTCCCATCTTCAAAAGCATAATGCCAAGACATTCAGTCAGGCAGAGTCTCAAAGTGTGAGCGTCTTGCAGCATTTTTTAACCCTGCATTAGCAACTGACATGGGACCAAGTTCAGTGTCAGATTTTGTATGTATCATGTCTCTGGGAAAAGCCTACCTGCAAGGCTGCTCTCCGGCAGGTTCTACTCCCAACACTGAACGCGTGCCTTGGTATTGCACACCAGGGATTTAGGGAACACACTTGTTGCTAAGAATGAATGGGTGTTGTGCACGGCAGAAGCAGATGGCTCTTCAATTAATTGGGGGGAAAAAATGATGCTGTTTCCTGAAAAGAAACATCAGGTTCTTTGTAGCTAGGAATTTAGAAAAGATGGAGAAAAACTCGGGATCTTTGGAGGAAGCTCCAAGTGTATTTTTGGACCAACATATGCCAGAGATCCAGGCTTTAAAAATGAATATATTGTCTTTGGGACCCTGTCGTGGACCATGTGTGTGGGGAGAGAAGGGTGCTTTTTCATTTTGGAATCTTAATTGAGGTCTAACTTCAGAAACCCAGTGCTGACAAAAAAGAACTATGTCATCCCCAGTTATTATTTGGAAAACGTCATGCTATCTCTCTGGGATTTGATTTACAGCTTGAAGAAACACAATTCCTCAGGAACAGTGAGCTAGGGCAGTTCATTTCTTCCCATGAAGCAAAGGTCTCCAACAAATATGCTTGATGCCATTCTTTCCGATCTACTTTTATCTCATTTTCAGTAACCAGAATAATTTGAGAGTGCTGAAAATAAACAACTCTGCCATTCACTATTGTGCTAGTCACCTAATTTTTCTGGTATCGTGCCAACTAATAAACAGAGAAGGTATGCTTTTAAATTCTGTGATTTTTTTCATTACTTGATATTGACATACTGGCTATTGCTTTATGATTTAGCCTCCTAACAATGATTGAGTTCACTCTTTCAACTCACACACACGACTTCTAATTTTAAGTTCTTTTAATAACCTCAAACACATGAAAAACAAATAAAATGAGCTGATAATTCTGCACAGTAAAATATACTTCACATATTTAGTTATCACGCTGTGGAATAACTCCACAATGTCAAGTAGCACACAATTAGTAAAACTGTAGGGGGAGGAAAAGGAGTGTTTTGATCCTGAAGAATTTTGATCCTAATCAGATTGAAATTTCAACGTTCTTGTAGTGCTTAATATCTTCAATCACACACACACACACACACACACACACACACACACAAATCAAACCAATGCCAATGTCAGGTTTTACATTCTGTGACTGAAATAAAATGCTAAAATATACAAATGCATCTCGCTTTGTACAATAAACATTAACATCATTATAAAGTAAGATTGAGTCTAAAATTGTGTGATGGAATGTCTGATGTTTACCTAATTCTCAAACCAAAGCCAGCCCAGAAACAAAATGACAGAGCATGTAATAAGTCTTGGTTGTGCAAACACTGGAAGAAAAGGCAAAAAGCACAGGATTCTCCTGTTCAAAGCAGTAGGCTGTTAATGAAGGATGCCTCGACTGTACCTTCTTGGCAGGAGAAGGTCATGGCGACATAGAATCAGCTGAAGAATAAGATAGAATTCTCAAACAAAGGGACGGTTCAAAAATAAACCACATTAACTATTTAGCTTTTCTTCCTAGAGCTATTGGCACAATTCCTATTTCTGTGCAAGAAAGACAGGTTTTAGCCAGCTGATAATATTTCCTGATATTTTGATATCTGTCTTATGCTCCAGTTTACAGATAAAACTTTAAAAGACTCCATAGTCTTTGATAACTCAAAATGCTATCTTTATCACTTATATCTTTTTCCTAGCATAGGCATCTGTAAATCCATAGATGAACTTGTCTCTAGAATAAGGAAAGTAAAAGGGAATCAGCTGCAGCAGGAACTGACAACTTCCATCAGTTGAACCAAGAACTGGACCATTCACTCTCCCACTAAGTTAACATGAGATGCCTGATAGTTCACTGGCTTTCAACATAAAGAATCACTAAGAATCGCATTATCTGTACCAACATGGTGGGTGAGTGAAATTACACTGGGATTCTAAAACCAAGGGGGTTGTAGGACCTCTTCTTTCACACGGTGACCAAAGACCTCTGATTTTTCTTTTTTTTTCTTACGCCACCCTACTGGAGTCATTGAACCCAATGTCACTGACTCTCCAGGCCGCATTGACCCAACCAACATTTTGAGGTTTGAATTCTCAACTACTCATACAAGCAATTATTTGAGCATCTTGGCCTATCAGGCTCCAGTCCTCCAGGACTCAGGAGGTACCGACCTCCAGATGACCAGTCAGGTCTCCCTTGGGTCTGACGCCCCTCTTAGCTCGAGCATTCAAGAGCAGTACACCTGCCTACCACTCTGCCAATAGCCCACATATGGAAGGGCAGACAACAAATGCTAAACCAAACAGAGAAACATCCAGATTTTTGTCTGTAGAAGTTGCTCATCTTGTCTTGAGATATCCCCGGGGTCCTTTCCAGGCCGAATGCACAATTCTAAAACCTAGACAGAGTGGCGAAGAGAGACTTCCCTTCCCTCTAGAAGGTTGTGCTCCACTAGCAAGGCTCGAGGCTCTGCCACTATGGGACTTCCAAGAAAAAGGAGCCAGAAATGCTAGAAGTGGTAGTAGTTTTCCCTTCCTAGGACCTTACCCAGGATAATGAAACTCTGCGAGAGTTATTTCAGAAGGCAGAAAGACCTGCAGCTTGTCTGTGAGATCTTGTAGAATTAAAAGGCATGGCCCACCCAATATATTTGGGGGATGTTAAAAAAATATATAAACATTAGCCTCAGTCTTTATTTCTTAATTACCAAATTCTATCCTCCTTAACAAAAGTCATGCCCAGCTACCTGGCAGAACGCATTGCACACTGTTTTGCATCAATAACCCCTACACTTCCCTCCTGAAGGCATCTCATCGCCAAATGCAAGCCGACTGCTTAATGCAGGACTAATTAGTATATCCCCTTCCCGTCTGCAGGCCCTCCATTGTAATTCCTTCCCAGCTCATTTTTTTCCACAACCGCGCATCAATCAAAGTAAGTGCCCTGCCTGCCTCGGAAACACAAGATGTCCTCCATGCATTTGTCATCTGCCACGCAAACAAAGGGGGAATTTAATTGTTGATCTGGGGAGGCAGCCGCCGCACAGGGGAAGGGAAGCTGTGGTGGGGGGAGAGAGGAAGGCGCAAAGTTTGGTGGGTGGGCCAAGAGCAGAGAGCCTAGGGTACGTCTTTCTAGGATCTTACTTGGGCTTTCTTGCAGCTGGGTCTTCGGGGATTTAGCTGCAACCCGATCATTGGCTGGACATTTTCCCCAAAGCAAATGAGTTTTTCTTCTTCTTCCGTATGAATGTGAAAATGCCACTGAAAGAAGATACGCGTCACAGCTACCATGTCAGACTGTTTTCAGAAGCCAGGTCAGCCCGCATCATGTGCCTGTCCATCAGCCAAAAAAAGAGGTCACAGGGAGACAAAATAAAGTCAGGGTTTTATACAGAAGTGAATGACCTGCAGTATCTTTGTCTTTTTGTTTTTCCATTTTGGGGAAAATACTGATTTTGGCTTTTCCAGGCTAAAGATAGGCACATAAGAACAGAGCCCAACGAGGGCCTATCAGCTGAGTGTCCTTGTCCCACCGCATTATAGAAATGCCCACCCCCAGCTTACTGAATCCAGACCTGCAATTAACAAGCTCCCTAGAAGACTCCCATGTGGGTTAATGGTTGAGGACGGACTTAAACTGATATTTCAAAGGCATTCTTGTACATTAAGTAAAAATAAATACAAAGTGACTATCAATCTTAGGGGGCTTAAGATTCCCCTCCCGTAATCTGAATGTTGTGAATACCAGTAAAA